CACGATTTACAGTTACGATCACGTTTTTTATTCATTTTGTTTTCATGTAAGCAACTTGATGTTTTGGTCAATATTTGAGACGCTTTGTCTTTTTTTTTAACAAAAGACAACAATTTTTATTATGATTAAACGATTAAACGTTATTGTAGACGGAAGGTTGATTTCATTAACGAAGTATAGTTGAGGGGTTTTTTTTACTAAAAAAAAAAGTTGAGAGGATTTTTCATGATCGGAGGATAGTTGTGGGGATTTTTTATTAAAAACCCATCAAGACACAGCATATAGTTATGGAAAACCTGGGTGTCATTGGCCTCTGAACCACTGTTTGTAAAAAACGCTTTAGCCATTTTTTTGGCCGTGAACATGTCTAAAAGATCCTTAGCAAGATCCTGTTTTGCAGGAAAAACATCACAACGATCAAATTCTCTTTGATTACCCATGAGTCTTAACAGCACACGGACAGCCGCATCATCAAACTGTAGAAACAAATTAGACTAATGACACCAAAGAGAAAATAAGTACCAGAGATGGTTTAGTAGTACGGTTCCAAAAGGAGTGGTAAAACGGCAAGGAGTTCAACTGAGCAACCGCGGCCGAAACAAGCCGTGGCTCATTTCCTCCTGCAAAATTTTGGGTACCAATAGAGAGGGTCAAAATAAAAGAGGCAAAGCTAACACTTTTACAAATAGCTAGGAAGACCAAATTGCAGAAAGAGAAACATCAAGTCATGTGTACAAATACAAGAAAGAATACCTAAGGCTGTACACCATAGACCAGCTAGAGAATCAAGATACTTTCTCCCTTGGTCATCATACACATAACTTCCCTGCAGAAAAATAACAAGAAGAAAAGAAAAAAATGTCAAACATAACTGTTTGAGTCAACATTTTACATTTGTATATACTTTTGGTATATATATACCTCAGACTTTGCTATGATCAAAGGATCTAAATCAGCACTTTGCCACCCAGCCGTAAAAGGTGCAAGCATATCATGCCCTTTAGACCTGCTCAGTATTTTCATGTAACTCTTTTTAAGGAAAACGTTTCCACTATTCATGTCTCGTTGACACTTGCAAACTCATTTAAGCATCAGAAACAACAATGAAACTTACCCAACGGAGTTCTGCTTCTCCGGTGATGCTTCTGTAGTGAAGATCCTGGAGGTAAAGTTCCCAGACATGCATTTGGCAGAAGCACCATACCTGCTCTGCAAATTAACCTGGCCATGATCAGAGGAGATATTAGCACACTGAGATCAAGCTACTTGAATCACATCACTATTTGGGGTTAGTTAGAATATACTGAATCGGAATCTCTACATGATTCACCAAAATAAATAAAAAAGTTGTTCCCAGAATACGGGAGATTCCAAAAAAGACGCTTCATCTTTTTGGCATTTCAACGTTCTTCTAAATCCTGATCTCTTAAGCGAGACGCGGATTGATTTTCATGCTCAGTGACGAAACAAATCGATTGGCGATGAGAGAAAGGGTTATGATTTTGGTTGATTCGTGGGAGAAAATTACGATGCAGTTAAAAGCAATTCGAGGATCATTATATATGTGAGAGAGAGAAGCTGAGTAAGAGAGAAGAAGTTGATGATTTCGAGAAGGAGAAAAAGACCTGAGTGGTACGAGCGAAGCGTCGGAGAGAGTTGATCATCGCCATTTCCGGTACACCGGAACGATGGAAAGAGAGTGAGAATCTGCAGAAGAATCGTGGATTGTGTAAGAGGGAGAGCTGAGATTAGCTTATAAAACAGAGGATGATGATTTGATTTGATGCCTTCTTCTTTCTTATGAATCGCTCAAGATATTTATCTCTTTACGAGTTTTATTTGATTTTGACAAGTGACGTGTCATTGAGTCATTGTGTTTACATTATTTATCACGTTGGCTGCTCCAAATTTTGCGATAACAAATTACTAGTAAATTACACCAACTAGTGTAATGTGTCTTGTTGTTGATATATAATTATTATAAGTTTTTTTTTTAAATGTTGTACTTGTAGATAATCT